CTCTATATATGATCTTGCATGCGAACTGGCCTTGTGGCCCTTGACCTTGTGCTCGGAATGTGTGGTGACTTTGTGATCCACCCTGAGCTTTGCTTTGCTTTGCTTGACTGGTCTTGTGACCCCTTGTTCTCCCTCACTTTGCCTATGGGGGTGTGTCAGAACATTATAGCTTACTTGTTTGTGTAGGCTATAGTGGGGTATCCCATAGGGGGTACAACCCAATTAGGGTTTCCTATTTGTACTCACCTCGTTCGTAGTCAATTCATTCACGTTGCTTTCTTCACAGACGGGTGCGTAGAGGAAGGCGTTAGCGACGTCGATTTGCCGTAGTTTTCTTTTCTTCATGGCGGCGATCGCGAGGAGGATTCGGAGTGAAGTGTGTCGGCTAACCGGGGTGAATGTCTCGGTGAAGTCCCGTCCGTGTTCCTGATCGAATCCTCGCATGACCCAGCGTGCTTTGAACTTCTCGATTGTGCCGTCTGCCTTCGTTTTGATGCGGAAGACCCATTTCCCGGTGAGGATGGTCTTGTTCCTTGCCACGCTAACTGGAACAACCTTGCAGGTGTTTCGTTCCTCCAAGGCCTTTAATTCTCTGTCCATGGCTTCACGCCAATTCTCCCTGTGTTCCCCCCCCAGAGCCTGCTGAACTGTCGCAGGCTCTTTAGGAAGAGGATGGCCGTGGACTGCGGTGACGAGACCGAGAATCTGCAGTCCAGTCTGTAAGTAGCGGGGGAGTGTTGTGTACTCGGGATAAGCTGCTTCATCTCCCGCTTCTTGGTCGGGTATTAAATTCGGTCCTACTCTTTCTGCTTCGTTGGTGTTGAGTGTCGCAGGTGTTACGTAACCATTGTCGGTGAAGTGATAGAAGACTTCGGTGTTGGCGCTTTCGCGAGGATTTTCTTCGTCCATGGGGACGTTGACGGAGCAGATAGGGAGATGTCCGACTTCTTCTGATGCGTTGTCGACGTTCTGCTCGTCCCAGTCTGCTTCGTCCGCTGCTGAGGCGAAGGCTCGGTCACCACGAAAGCCACCTGTGGGGTCCCGATTTTTGTGCAAGTTGGCGAGGTACGTCTGAAGCGTGAGTCGTTCGTAGAAGATCACATCATGTGCTGCTACTGTTTCCTTGGAGTGGACGTCGAAGATTTTCCACGCGTTGTAATTCTTTTCGATGCCGAGGTGTAGTCCCCACTGTGCGCGTTGTGAAAATCTTCCCGCTCGTGCCTCTGGGGGTCGGTACTGTACCATGCACCCGAAAACTCGTAACATTTTTGTACTGCCCTGTTTCCTTGTCCACAGCAGATGCGGTGATGCGTTGTTCGGGAGTGAGGACGACGACATCAAGTTGTGCAGCATGACAGCATGGTCCATTGCTGCAGGCCACTGGTGGTTGGGTAGCCGCATGCCACGTGACAGTTTGCGCATGCTGTTTTGCAGAGTCCTGTTCATTCGTTCTGCGACACCTTGCTGCTGATGGGCATAGGGAAGGGAGAGGAGCTGCTTGATTCCTCTTTCCGCCAGGTACTGCTTGAATCGCCGAGAGGTGTATTCTCCTCCTCCGTCTGACTGGAAGCTTTTCAGCTGTGCTCCCGACTCTCTTTCTGCTACTGGTAGCCAGGCGGCGAACGCTGCGAGGGCCATGTCGCGGCTGGGTAGATTTAGATGCCAGACGTATCGAGTGGCGGCATCGATGAAGGTAATCGTGTAGTAGGTAACTTGTCCTGGTTCTCGATTGAAGAGAATATCGCTGTACACGTTCTCGAGTGGTGCATACGCGGGTGCGCTCGGGTTGTGATGAGGAGTGAACGGTCGATGTGGTAAGTCGGCTTCGGGGCAGGTAAGACAAGTCCCTCGTGCCCGTTGAAGTTCTCTGCCGTCGGGTAGGAGTAATGAGTCCTTGTCTAGGACTCCCGCTCTTATCGTGTTATTTAACACTGTGTTGCTTGGATGTCTTATTCGTGCGTGCCAGATTTCTTCGGAGGCGCGATGTCCGGGTGAGCGTCGATACGCGTCGGAGTTGGAGTAAAAGCTGGCGACGAAGTTTGCGCTTCTGTGGACTTCTCGTTGAGTTGGGTTCAGCTGCTGTGCGGGGGTTGGTGGTGCTTCGTCAACGAGAGCTGGTGTTGCTGACGATGGTTCTGCTGCTATCGATGTTGTCTCTGCTGCTGCCGATGTTGTTTCTGCTACTGCCGATGTTGTCTCTGCTGCTGCCGATGTTGTCTTTGCTGCTGCCGATGCTGTCTCTGCTGCCGAGTGTTGAATTGTTGCTAACGCGCGTGTTCGTTCTACTTTAGGGATGGTATGCGAGTACCAGAAACCTTCCGGGCTGAAGTCTGGATCAAGATCTGGAGGGTGCGTCCAGTCGGCGAAGTTCACGATGGCGTCGCTGTCTGCGGTGCCCAGGTCTGGGACGAAGTCGAGGACGAAGACGTTGTTCTTCAAGACCGCCTTCCCGATGTAGAGCCCGCCCTTTCCGTGGTATAATTTGAACTCCTGGGTGGTACTGTCGGCTTCCAAGTGAATGCCTTTTGCCATCAACTGGCTGACGCTCAGTAAGTTGTAGCCGAGTCCCTCCGCGACTAGTACTTTTGACATATGCAGTATAACGTTTGTCTCTCTGGACTGAAGCTGTACTACACCTTGTCGTCGTGTGCGCAGGTTCTGGTTGTTGGCGACTGTGATGACGACCTCTCGTTGAAGTCGATGTTCACGTTGGACGAAGCGTCCCGAAGAGCACATGTGCTGTCCGCAGCAACTGTCCAAGAAGCATATGTCTTTCTCGGACGGTTCACTTTGAGCAATGGCGGCGTACGTCGGGTTTGGTTGAATGGACTCGCGGCGAGGCGTACTGTTGTCGAGTTGTTCTTCGGGTGAGTAGTATGGTGGTGATTCGGTTGTGTAGGAATCTGTTATCTTTACCATGCAGTTGACGATGTTTCTTGCCTTTTGTGCAGGTTGTCCTGTTGGAGTCGTTGAAGCTTGGACTGAAGTTGTTGGGGTTGCTTGCGTCAAAGTGATTTGGCTGCTTGAAGGTCGAAGCTGTCGCTGTGGTGTTGTCGATTGACGACGATACGGGCAGTGCGTATGAGGATGCCCTGAAGTCTTGCAGATGTGGCAAAACGGAGGTACTGGCTTCGGTTGTTGTTGCTGTCGACTGTTGTTGTTGTTGTAGCGTCGCTGGGTGTGAAAAGCGAACTCTGGTACTGACGTTTTCTTCTTATGTCGTTCTTCTTGCAGGTCCATGTCCTGCTGCTCGGCATGGATTTCGGCGCAGAGTGCTGCTTCGGAGATTCTCCAGTGTGCTCGTAGTATGGCGCGAGTGGAGCGCCAGTGAGGGCCGAGACCGCCGATGACAACCGTGACGAAGGCGCCTGGTTTCATTTCTATTGTTGTCAGCTGCGCCATTAACTGACTTTGGTTTACACTGTCTGTTGCTTGATACAGGTTCTTCAAGTGGTTGTACGCGAGCTCCGCGGAGTTACCGTAACCTCGGTAAGGCCTTATGTTCTGCTGTTGAGTCGAGGTGATGTTCCTCTGTAGTATTGTGTACGCCATCATCGATTGATAAGTGTACTGCTGCTTCTCATACTGTGTGCCGTTTGTTGGATATGGCAGGGACCCGTCGAAGAATCCAAGGATCTGCGCTCCTTCCATCATCAGCTTGAAATCGAACGACCAGGTAAAGAAGTCCTTTACTGTCAAAAGGCTTTGTCGTTTGCAGTTTTAGAACATGCGCGAATTGCGACTGAACTTGTAATGCGTCCAGTGCTCTCTCTTGTCCCGGTGCAGGTTGTGGTTGCGGCATAAAGCTGACGGAGCCGCGCTGGGGCTCGTACAAAGCGAAGGTAGGTTGTTGTTGTTGATTCCCGCATGCGTAGGATGAGCCATCGAGACTCATGGGTGTCACGTTGTTGTTGTTGTTGTTGTTGCTGTTGTTTGATTGCGCAGGTACTCCTTGCTGATGCTGCTCGTAGAAGGACATGAAGGAGAAGAATTTCTCCATCATGATTGGATCGAAGCCCGCGCCTTGGTTTGCGGGTGTTTCCGTAGACCCAGCTGCTGGTCTCGTCGTTGTCCCCTCCTCTGTCTGTAGGCCAGAGGCAGGAGGTGGGGTAGGGGTAGTACCGGGAGAGCTGTTGGAGGAGCTCCTCTCCTTTCTAGCAGACATGTCTTCTTGATGTATTGAGTGTTGAAAAGTAATAACTTTTAACTCCAACTGCTCTCATACCATGTTGGGCTGAAACGCCCTACGATCTTTGTAGAGTTAAAGTCTGAGTAAGTGATGTAATAGCGGAAGCGTTGAATAAAGTCCTTGAACCACCTTGCGCTAGTATGTGAGGGCAAAGTGAGTTGATTAAAGCAAGGAGATACAGGAATATAAATATATGAGTACCGGTACAGAGAATATTAAGAGACATTATAACTACTTTACTGTTGCGGTTCGATACAGTGCGACTCGGGCAACTGCTCAATGTCGAGTCAGTTGTGTGTCCTTGCTGTCGCGCTGCGTCAGGTCAAAGGTCGCTGACCTTTCACTTTCACGTAACCTCCAGCGGTTACATTAACTTCCGAGGGTTGACTCGCGATGCTTCGACTTGAGCTGCTTAGCTTTGTGTCTTGAGTTCTGACACGACAGAGGCGCTTAACTTATTTGTTCCCAACAAGATGAACCAGTAAAAATGTGTTCAGAATCCAGAAATTCAGACCAAAAATGTCTGATCAAGTAAGCCCTGCTGGGAACATAGTAATAATGCTCGCAAGAATGTTCCCAAAACTCACAGCCCTTGGGAGACAGGAGGGGCCGAGTGCTAACATGACCCGGGGCCTGTGTCTGGTATAAAGGAGGAAGCTAGGGACAAAGGAAGACTACAGTACTAGGAGAGCTTGCTTCCGGGGCTTAGCTTAGGACGATGGTGGTGGAGCATGGTCAGCAGCACACATGCCTTGTGTATTTACCGGTAAGTTCGGACCGGAATATGTAGGCCAGCTTTGGTGAACTGTAGCTATGAGCGCTTGCACTTGGGACCTGGTTTCGGCAGAAAGCAGTTGGAGGAGAACCTGAAGGGTGGATTGGGGGAGGGAAGGTAAATGGGAGGGGGGAGTTTGAGTCAACTCAAATGTCACGTCGGTTGGAAGCAGTTGGAGGAGCACCTGCAGAGCGAAATGGGGGAAGACAAGGTGGGAGAGCACGGATAGAGAGATAGAAGTTAGACAGGTGTTATGCTGAAGTGTCTCAAAATGTAATTCGAAATACGGTAGGCCTCCATAGAATGAGAGTGAGATGCGCGCGTTGAAGAATTTCAGCAGGGCCTATGCAGGGTCGACTCAGATTGGCATACTCGAGAGAAGGCTGGCTTGTTTTCCAGAACACACTCAGAGGCATCGTCTGGGAACACACTCACACACACAGCCCACCCCCACCCCCCATACACCCACCCACACCCAAGCGCAGCAGGCACCGTTGACGCACCGCTGACACGGCACCAGTGAGGTAGCTGCTACTTAAAGCCAGTTCCCAAACTCCACCCACAGCCAGTCCCTCATCCGGACTCACTTGAAGTCAATCAGTCGGATAGCAGGACCAATGAGGTGAGGTGGTCAATTGAAGCTTTGGCACGAAGCCACTGAGGTGAGGGGATTGCCACTCACCTTAAGTCAATCTCCCATGTCTCACCCACAGCCATTCTTCGCCTCCCACCAACCCCCTCCCCCCCCCCCCTCCTTCTCCCCTCCCTCCTTCCAACCTCCTCCGCACTGCAGGCACCTTTGGCACGACACCACTGAGGTGTTGCCGCTGCCCACTTACAGTCTCACAACCAAATCCAATCTCCCTAGTCTCATCACAGCCATTCGGACTCACTTGAAGTTGATCTGGCGGCCTGCAGGCACCTTGGGCACGGCGCCACTGAGGTAGTTGCTGCTGCTACCCACTTACAGTCTCACAACCAGAACCAATCTCCCTAGTCTCACCACAGCCATTGGGACTCACCTGAATTCAATCTGGCGGCCTGCAGGCACCTTGGGCACGGCGCCACTGAGGTAGTTGGCGCTCACGTCGCTGGGGGGGAGAATGGGGAGAGGTTGGGGGGGAGGGAGGGAGGGGGGCTGGGTGACTGGCGTGTGGATATAAAGGGAGGTTACTCGAGTGTGATGAGTCGATTTTTGAGTCGACTAAAAAATTGACTGGCGCGTGGATATAAAGGGAGGTTACTCGAGACTACTCACACATGTGACATGCATGCACAGCACGCCGGAAGTGTTGTTGTTCGGTGCGACTCAAAGCCCAAGTCTGGTGATGTACGAGTGAATCTTACGGGAAGTGATTCACAGAGTTAGTTTCGCTCTTGACTCGTCTCAAAAGCGGTGCGGCTTAACACCCAAGTCAGGTGACGTATGAGTGAATCTTGTGGGAAGTGATTCACACACAGAGGTAGCTCCCAAGGCACACGGGAGATTGCAGATGACACACTCACAGCGTGCCTTGGGGGAACAGTAGGGATGGCGTCATACTCTGATCACTTGCTGCCACGTATTGAACCATGGCCTCCAAATGGGGTTCGATTGAGCTCCCAAGGCACACGGGAGATTGCAGATGACACGCTCACAGCGAGCCTTGGGGGAACATTGGGGATGGCAGGCTCACAGGGTGCATGTAGCAAGTCACGTCACAGCCGCAGCAACGATCTCACTGGAGATGATCTTGTTGCAATGAGATGTGCTGTGAGCTTGGCACACTCCCGCAGACAGGCTCACAGCTGCGTTAGAGCCTTGGGATCAACGAGATGAATACCGAGTCGCCTTGTTGCAGTGGCACACAGCACATAGGAAAACTCGCAGCATGATTCTGGCTAAGCCACAGCCTTAAAAATGGCCCTGTTGTAACGGTACTCGGCATATCGTGGCATTCAGATAGACTCACAGGTGTGGGAGAGCCCTGGGAGCAACGAGGTGAGTTCTGAGGCAGCTCGTTGCAATGACACACGACACACACACACACACACACACACTACACTGCGGTCGACAGTCAGACTCACAGGTGCGTGAGTGCCTTGGGAGCAAAGAGCTGGGCAGCAGGCGGTAGTTGGCCCCACAGGAAGTTGTTATAGAGCACGCTGGTGAGGGGGAGGTGGGGAGAAGATGAGGCGGGAGACGGGGAGAGGGAAGATGGGGGGGAAAGGGTGAAGAGGTGGGCAGCAGGCGGTAGTTGACCCCACAGGAATGGATTTTTGAGTCGACTAAAAAATCGACTCATCACAGGCAGCAGGCGGTAGCTGGCCCCACAGGAGGTTGTTATGGAGAACGCTGGTGATAGGGAAGGGAGGGGGAGGAATAGGGTGGGGAAGGGGAAACAGATGGGGGAGCTTTTCAGGCGTGCCTCAAGCGGGGGGTTCACGATGTTATAGACAAGGTTGATGCGGGAGCCTGGGGGGACGTTTTGAGAGTTCTCAAAAGGTTGATGCGGGAGACCGGGGGGAAGGCAGATGGAGAGAAGTGGAGTGAACTGCGTGGTGTGGCGTGGGCGTGAAGAGCGGGGCAGCAGGAGGCAGGGGGGCCTTCAAGGGGTTGCTGTAGAGAATTATGGGGGAAAGAGGGGTAAAGAAGAATGGCAGGCATGCACACAGACAGGCATGCACACAGACAGGCCGCCACAAACACGCACATGCACACATGCACAGATGCACACACATGCACACACACACACACACACACACACACACACGCACACACACACGCACGGATGCACACACGCAGAGACACACAACCCCCCCACACACGCATCCCCACGAACAACCAGCAATGCGTCCACTCACATGTCTGAGATGCGTCCACTCACATGTCTGAGATGCGTCCACTCACATGTCTGAGATGCGTCCACTCACATGTCTGAGATGCGTCCACTCACATGTCTGAGATGCGTCCACTCACATGTCTGAGATGCGTCCACTCACATGTCTGAGATGCGTCCACTCACATGTCTGAGATGCGTCCACTCACATGTCTGAGATGCGTCCACTCACATGTCTGAGATGCGTCCACTCACATGTCTGAGATGCGTCCACTCACATGTCTGAGATGCGTCCACTCACATGTCTGAGATGCGTCCACTCACATGTCTGAGATGCGGGGCAGCTTGAGCAGCACAGAGGGGAAGCGGCCACACAGACAGACAACCACAGGCACTCTTTCTAACACACACAGATCCCCCCCACTCTCTCACACACGCATCCCCACGCACAATCAGCAATGCGTCCACTCACATGTCTGAGATGCGTGGCAGCTTGAGCAGCACAGAGGGGAAGCGGCCGCGCATGAGAGTAGCCGACGCCACAAAGTGCTTCAGAGACACCATGCCCGCCCATGCTGCTGGCACCGCCCCTCCCAGATTCAGTTTCTGCAGATTGCTGTCAAGGGGAGGGGGGAATGGAAAGGGGGAACAGGAAGGGTGCGAGCTTGAGCCCGGCAGCAGCCTCACTAGCTTGTTCGGCACCATGCCCGCCCATGCTGCCGGCACTGCGCCTCCCAGATTCAGCTTCTGCAGATTTCTGGAGCAGGAGCGGAGTTGAAGGATGGGAGGGGAGAGGAGGGGAGGGGAGGGGAGCGGAGAGGAGCGGAGGGGAGGGGAGGGGAGGGGTGGGGAGGGGAGGGGAGGGGAGGGGAGGGGAGCGGAGGGGAGGGGAGGGGAGGGGAGGGGAGGGGAGAGGAGGGGAGGGGAGGGGAGCGGAGGGGAGAAGAGGGGAGCGGAGGGGAGGGGAGGGGAGCGGAGTGGAGGGGAGGGGGGCGGAGGGGAGGGAACGGGAGGGGAGCGGAGGGGAGGGGAGGGGAGGGGAGGGGAGGGGAGGGAGGGGAGGGGAGGGGAGGGGAGGGAGGGGAGGGGAGGGGAGCGGAGGGGAGGGGAGGGGAGGGGAGCGGAGGGGAGGGGAGGGGAGGGGAGCGGCAGTGAATGTTATGTGGGGGGCCTCTCACTAGCAAGACAGGAAATTGGTCGTGCTATGAGTCGACTCAAAACAAGACCGTGCTTCCAGTCTCAAATTGTCCCGAGGGACTGTCACGAGCAAGGCAGGGAAGTGAGCAGTGGGTAAGGGGAGTGGCACGGCGTGGCCATCGTGCAAGGGGAGTGGCATGCTGAGAGTATGCATCTAGGAAACTGGGAGTTGGTTTCATCCTGTGCTGCTGCCCATAAAGCATGGTGGTGGCACTGTTGGTGACGTCAGCGAGGTGGCATTGATGTCAGCAAGGCGGCGATGTTGTCAGCAAGGCAGTAGTGACATCAGCAAGGCAGCACAAGGAGCACTAGGGCCTATCAGGTGCAGGTAATTCTGCAGGTTACACTCACAGCGACTTGAGCTTCTTGAGATTACCCCAGCTTGCAGGCATGGGCCCTTGAAACGCGTTTCCACCCAAGTCCCTGCTTCCACAGCACCAAAGGGGCATGACAGAAGGGAGGCAAAGGGAGAATTTAGGCGCCTCTAAATCACCCCAGCTTACAGGCATGGGCCCTTGAAACATGTTTTCCATGCATGGGCTTTTGAAACTTGTTTCCCCCTAAGTCTCTGCTTGCACTGTCTTACAGTGTTCTCAGCTGTCGCAGGTTGCCGAGCCCCGGCAGCAGCACGCCAGACATTTGGTTGTAGGAGACTGCAAGCGATGTGAGGTTGCTGAGGGTGGCGAGTGTGGCTGTGCCGGGTGGGAGCAAAGAGCCTCACTCACAGTGTTCTCAGCTGCCGCAGGTTGCCGAGCCCCGGCGGCAGCGCCCCAGACATTTGGTTGTAGGAGACTGCAAGCGATGTGAGGTTGGTGAGGGTGGCGATGCCGGGTGGTATTCGCCCCGTGATGCGATTCATGCTCACGTCGCTGCGCATGGTGAAAGGGGTGGGAAGACATCGCTTTATGGGGGTGGCACGCTGAAAAGTGTGGCGATGTCGTGTGGGAATGGGATGGGTCCTGTGATGCGATTCAGCTTGTGTCGCGCGCCACACGTGGGAAGAGTGGTGTGGGTGGAGAGGGATTTCTTTGATGAGGGCGGCAAATTGGTGAGGGTGGCAAATTGGTGAGGGTGGCAAATTGGTGAGGGTGGCAAATTGGTGAGGGTGGCAAATTGGTGAGGGTGGCAAATTGGTGAGGGTGGCAAATTGGTGAGGGTGGCAGCTTGGTGAGGGTGGCGACGCCGCGTTGGGATGGGCCCTGTGATGCGATTCATGCTCACAACACTGTGGGAAGCGTGGGGTAGTCTAGTGGGAGGAGTAACGGGATTAAACTGCTGAGGGTGGCGATGCCACGTGGGATAGGCCTGGTTGATGCGATTCATGCTCATGTCCTTGTGAAGGAGGGGGGGTGTGGGAAGAAGAGAGGGTGGAAGGAGGAATCTCCTTCGGATACAGTACGAAGTGGTGGGATACGGCAGAAAGGGATGGGATTCGCCTCTGGAGGGCCGTCAAAGAGGAGAGTGAATCTGGGATGAAGCAAGAACCTCGCTGACCAAAGGGAAGGGAGGGAAGAAAGGACCGAGGAGAGCAACGGATTGGGTTTTAGGAAAGGGTGCTACAGCGGGGAAGAGGTGGAGAGACAGCGGATAGGCATACAGCTTTCTGGAGAAATCTCAAAGTAGAAAGTGCGATGGGGATAGAGCCGACTGTCCTGTGGTTCAGCTCTTGCACTGTTGAAGGCTTAGTTGCAGGTATGATCCCTGTGCGAAGCCAAGCCGAAACATGTTTGCGTGTTGGACCAGCGACGTACAGCTTTTGGAGAGACTTCAAAGTGGAGAGTGTGTTGGGGATGGGTCCGACCATCTTGTTGTCCATACATATGCTGCGCACATGAGCAGCACCCACATGCACCACATGCACCACATGCGCCACATGCACCACATGCACCACATGCACCACATGCACCACATGCGCCACATGCACCACATGCAGCACATGCAGCACATGGCAGCATAACGAGCAGCAATTGTTGAATCACATCAGGTAGCATCACAGCACAACACTTCACATAGCCGCACATGACATGACATGGAGCATGGTAGTGTGGGAGCATGGGAGCACGGGAGGAACGTGGAAGCATGCCATGGGAACACGCGAAAACGGAAACGTGGAAACATGTGAACATCGAAACACGGAAAAAATAAAAAAAAATAAAAAAAAAATAATAGGCAGTTCTCGCGGACTCACATTTCCTTGAGCTTGGGGAATCGGAAGATGGTGGGCGGTAGTACGGGCCCGGACACTTCATTCCCCGCCACGTTCAAGAGCATGAGGTTGGAGAGAGCTCGCATCTTGCTCCATGGGATTACGCCTCGCAGGGGGCCCGGCTTGCGGCCGCGGGCAAAGGCTGGGTTCAGGGCCACCATATATGCGTTGTCTATGTCGCTGCAAGAAAGCATGGGGTTGAGGGTTTACAAAAGGGTAAAAAACGATGCAACTTTTTGAGAAATTTCAAAAACCAGCTGCATCTTGCTCCATGGGATAGTGCCTCTCAGGAGGCCCGCCTTGCGTCTCTGGGCAAAGGCTGGGTTCTTGGCCACCATGTGCCACCATATATGCATTGTCTATGTCGCCGCAAGCATGCGCACGTGGGCGCATGAAAGGGCGAAAGGTGATGTTGGCACATGAATGAGAGGCGCTCGCTGGGGACTGTATGGTAAGACTATGTGCAAGGCTGGTCACTGCGACACTCGCAACATAGAGTGCTGTACATACATGGGCTGGCCCCTGACTGGAAAGGCTGTGATCCAAGGCTGGTGTTCTGATTCGGCTGAGGAGGAGCTTGATGGAGGGTCACCTGGGTGGCATTTTCTTGGGTTGCTGCGAGCATGTGGTTGCACTCAATGGTGCAGGGCAGCGTGTTGTAGTAAACAAAAGCTGAAGGCGATGTTCTGATGTTTCGTGCAGAACCTACATATATGTAAATATATATAAATTAGAAACAAAATAACGAAACAACGCCAGCTATGAATAGAGCAAGATCACTCACGTGGCGTTCACTCAGCCTTCCTCGTCGCAAGTGATGAACTGCACACACAGGCTTGGTGTTCTCGTATGTCATTCCCTGTGACACATTGAGGGCGCCTCGAAACTCTGTCTTCTGAGGCGGCGCAAAGACCACTCACATGGCGTTAATCTGGCCTTCCGCGTCGCAAGTGATGAGCTTCCAGAACTGCACGCACGGCCTGGATGTCTCGTATGTCGTTCAAACCCAGCGACACATTGGCCCAGCTTTGAGAGGTCTCAAAACACTCACAAAGCATTCACTCGGCCTTCCTCGTTGCAAATGATGAGCTTCCAGAACTGCACGCACGGCTTCCTTGTCTCGTATGTCATTCCCAACGACACATTGGTGGTGCCTCAAAGACCACTCACATGGCGTTAATCCGGCCTTCCTCGTCGCAAGTGATGAACTTCCAGAACTGCACGCACGGCTTGCTTGTCTCGTATGTCATTCCCAAGGACACGTTGGCCCAGCTGCCGTACTTGGCGAATATTGGATGGTTCCCGAAGGCCGCTGCGAACGCCAGCAGCGCAGCTTCTGCACCATGATTGGGTGGGGTGGTTGGAAAAGGTAATGAGTCGACCCAAATCCTGTACATGGCGAATACTGGATGGTTCCCGAAGCCGCTGCGAACGCCAGCAGTGCAGCCTCTGCGCAATGAGACGGGACGATTGGTCATGCCGCCATCGTTGGGTGGGTGGGATGGAAAGGAGCGGGAAAGGGTGGGGGGTCAAGATGAGTTGCTGGAGTCTGCTTTTTTAAGAGAGATGTGGGAGGAGGAGGGATGTGATTGAAAGGAGGGATGAGTGAAAGAGAGATGTGACTGAAAGAGAGATGGGGGGATCTCAGGATCTGGTCTGGTCAGTCAGACCTTTCTGATTATAGCATCGAGAAGATTGTTCAAAACATTCGATATTCAAGTCAACTTTTGGGACCACTGAAAGGTGACCCGATTGCTGCAAAAAAGTCCTGTCGCTTACTCTCAGCCATGGCGATTTTCTGGGGGGTGGTGAACCCAGGGACGGGGATGAGTTCGGAATCGTCGCCTTGCGCCTCACAGCCAGTCATCAGCCCTGCTTGCATGAGCAGCAGCAGCAGCGGCAGTAGCAGCAGCAGCAGCGCTAGCGTATCCGGCGCGAGCGGCGGCGCCGGCGAGCGCGCGGAAGTGCGGCGTCGCAGCGCCATGATGACGAGCCGCTGGGTATGACGAGGCTGCGTTGATGTGTTTCGAACTCCTGGCCCCGCGAGGAAGCGCGGCACGAGCGCGGACGCTTGCGGCGTAACTGCTGGGGAGCGGTTTGCGGATTTGGCGAGTCTTGTTGAGACGTCTACTTGCCTGTGACACCACAGTTCAACTTAGTCAGGCTGTTAGACTGTTAAGTACTTCTAGCAAGGCTTTGTTGTGGGAAGCAGGTTGTATTGTAAGAACTGGATTGGTTGGTTGGGACTACTTGCAACAAAGAAACGATAGAAGCAGAAAATAAGGTGTTCAAGAGCAGGCAAGAGCAGGGAAAGAGTCCCACCCACCCACACACGCATGTTTGTCAACTGGGTGTACCATGCGGTTCCGTAAGCTTCTATGCGGTAATCCGCGATTCTCGAGTTTCACTCCTTTCTGACCGAACCGCACCGAACAATGCGAGATCTGCCTTGTTGGCGTTGACGAGACTCCCCACGGTAGGCTCCATGAGAGATCCGCTGCGTTGGAATGGAGTGGATTATTGCCCAGTTAGACCACTTCATCCCTTCCTCCCAAGCTTTCGTGAAAACTCGAGTACCAGTAGGTGCCACCACCTAATTATTAAAAGCTGGTATAGAGTCCTTCTGCACCTGTTATAATAAAGAATATCAGGGAGCTCGTATAATGAACTTGCTCTGTGAAAATCAACTCAACAGTGTCACTACTGTATTTAAATCTTCTATGGATCAACAGCAGCGCATGCGCACATCCCCCCTCTCCCAAACAAAACCCTGGAGAGACGTGTAGGATTTGTACCCTGCTGATTCACCTGCCATTCCCCTGCCAGCCCCCTGCCATTCCTGCCATTCCCTTTCCATACCCCTTGCCAACCCCTGGCCATTCCCCCTGCCATTTTACGTTGAGATACACCATCTGGCTTTTGAGTCGACTCAAAATTTGCCTTGACTAGGTTGAGATTCATCAGCTGGAATTAACCACCTCTCCAAACCAGGGCCCTATCACCATCCAGCAACGCAAAAACGCCGAGCCCAACTCACTCTATTCTTCTCTCCTAGCTTCCTCCCTCCCCTCTCCTTGCTCACTCGATTTCACCATCTACCTCCAAATTACTCAGCTTTGTTTCTCCCTTCACTCTCACCACCACCATTATTCACATCAGAGCTACCCTCCTCTTCCCGTGCCCCTGCACCCACCCGTTTTCGCAACCTCTCACCCTCTCTCTCCGCCGCAACCCCCTTTGTTTCTCTGCCAGCCCTCAGTGCTTTCTCCTCTCCCCTCCCTCTCTCTTCAGCCTTCCCTTCCTTCCCTTCTCTCTCCTTTCGCCGTTTCGCCTCAAGAGCCGCCTTGTGCGGTTTCAGGTAGATTCGGTAGAAGGCTGCAGCGAGCACGGCACCGGCGGTGGGAGCAGCCCAGTAGACTATGAAGTGCTGCACCGACATCTCCTGGTCCAATGTGTACACCCACCCGAACGCCTGGAGGAAGGGAGTGGGGAGTGACAGGGGGTTGAGAGGCGAGGAGGTAAGGATGAGATGAAGGTGGTTTAGTAGACTGTGAAGTGCTGCACCGACATCCCTTGATCCAATGTGGACACCCACTCGAATTCATGAAGGAGGGGAGGGCAGCGACGAGTGGGGAGGTGAGGAGAGGCAGACATCCCGATATAAGGAGGAAGGATGAATGAGGTGATGAAGGTGGGAGCCACCCAGTACTCTATGAAGTATTGTACTGACATCTCGTGATCCAATGTGTACACACGCCCGAACGCCTGGAGGAGAAAGGAGACGAGGAATCATGAAATGAGGAAGGAAGGATGAGAAGAAGGTGGGGGCAGCAGCCCTGTAGGCTACAGAGTGCCTGATTGACGTTTCCTGAACCAAAATGTACACCCATCCAAATGCCTTCAGAAGGGGAGTGGGGAGTAGAAGGGTGGTGGAAATGGATGCAGAATCAGGAAATGGCATGGAAGGATGGACGAGATGAAGGTGGGAGCAGCCCAGTGTGCTGACTGACCTCTCTTGACTGATGGTGCTGACTGACATCTCTTGACTGATGGTGCTGACTGACATCTCTTGACTGATGGTGCTGACTGACATCTCTTGACTGATGGTGCTGACTGACATCTCTTGACTGATGGTGCTGACTGACATCTCTTGACTGATGGTGCTGACTGACATCTCTTGACTGATGGTGCTGACTGACATCTCTTGACTGATGGTGCTGACTGACACCCAAACGCGTGATCAGCGTGTACACTCACACCCAAACGCCTTGGAGAAGGGGAGTAGGGAGTATGGGAACTAAGGAATGAGGGGAGAAATATCCGGGACGGAGCAGCTCGATAGAGCATCAAGTGCTTGGCAGACGTCTCATGATCCAACGTAGGCACCCACCCAAACGCATGGGGGAGGGATTACAGGAAAGGTACATGTGAGCGCGAGAGAGTGTGAGCGTGTGAGAGTGCGAGTGAGGGAGTGAGTGAGAAAGAGAAAGCTTACAAAGTGGGGTCTCATGGAGGGCCCAGAGACAAGGGAGTAGGATAGAAGCTTCCCACGAGAGTGCAAGTGAGTGAGGAGTGAGAAAGAGGGAGCTAATTAAGAGGGAGTTCATGGAGGGACCAGAGAAGCCCATGTCAGCAGCGATGGCGACCCGAGTGGCAGAGACCATGATGAATGCCTTTGATGTTTGGTCGACTCAAAAGGGGGTTTACAAAGAGGGGGTTCATGGAGGGAACAGAGAAGCCCATGTCAGCAGTGACGGTGACCAGAGTGGCTGAGACCATGATGAATGCCTTTGAGAGGTCGCTCTTGGGCCCAGGAACAGCGTCCACAGCACCACCAGGTTCAGCAGAAACGCGCGTGAGAGCGAGCGTGGGAGAGCGAGAGTGTGGGAGCAAGGGTGAGAGCGAGTGTGTGAGTGAAGGAGAGAGGAAGGGGGGCTAGCGCTTACGAAGAGGGGGTTCATGGAGGGACCAGAGAAGCCCATTCCAGCAGCAATGGCGACTATTGTGGCGGTGACCATGATGAATGCCTTTGAGAGGTCGCTGCTGGGGCCCAGGAACAGTGTCCACAGCACCACCAGGTTCAGCACAAACGTGAGGGTGAATTCCGCCGTCGCACCGGCCAATACTGACACGCCAGGTGGCAGCGCGGGCCCGTTAACGGTGTGCTTTAGAGATTCCGGAATGAACTCCCACGTCAGCATGGTGCCTATGACCATGCCTCCCGCCTGGTGACGTGGATGGGAGGGGGATGGGAAGGGGTGGGAATGGATGGGAAGGGAGATGGATTGACGTGCTGGGTTGGGTTGGCACATGAGCAGGGTGCCTATCACCATGCCGCCTGTCTGGTGACGTGGATTGGTGGGGAGGAAAGGGGAGAGAAGGAGAAGGAAGGAGAGGAAGGAAGGGGGACAAGATGGTTGTGATGGACGGGAATAGAGTAGGATAGACACTCTGGATAAACTCCCACGTCAGCATAGTGCCTACCACCATGCCACCTGCCTGATGACGTGGATAGGTTAGAGGGGAGGGAAGTGAAATGGGGAGGCAAGGCGACATGGGAGGGCGTCGGATGGCCATTGAAGTTGGATGGGCTCGAGAGAGAAGTACCACGTCAGCAAGATATCCAACATTGTGGAGTGCGAAAGGTGTGTGTCGGGGTGGACACACTGGAAGAGCAAATTATCGGATATCCACAATGCAAGCCAGGCATCTGACTCCTGCCAGCACCTGCTGTCAGTACGTGCTGCCAGCACCTGATGCCAGTACCTGAGCGGGGAAGCGCAGCAGCAAGCCGAGCGCCGTCTCGTCGGCCTCATCAGCGAGGTAGTTGATCAGATTCGCCAGCGGGTTAAACGACGCCCCCCCCAACGCGGCCGCCGCTCCTCCGAACCCCACGATTTGCACGATGGCGATCGCCTGGTGCATGAAGGGAGAGGCAGGAGAGAGAGGCACAAAGGACAGGCACACAAGGTGACTTTTGAGTCGACTCAAAAGTCACGATCTCCACGATGGCGATCGCCTGGTGCATACGAGAAGGACATGCAGGAGAGAGCAGCATACGACAGGAGTGAACGCACTGTGAGAGAGTGCATGAACTCCTAAGAGCGTTACGTAGTGATGGCGTAGGACCCACCTAGAGCCTGACATAGTGAAAGCGTTTGAAGTGCGAGATTTACAATTCCGATACATTCCTACATTGCTACACTCTGGCATTGTTACATTTGCCTACCAAGAGGAGAGCAACGGAGGTCTCATCGTCCGCGGCGACGTATGGAGCGAGTACTGCCACCGTGGCGCCCGTACACGACACCCCTATCGCCCACACGATTCTGATCATTGGAAAATTCCGCACAAATGGATTACATTAAAACGAGAAGAACACCGTGTATAATGCCAGGGAAATGTGGATCACGGATTATCATCTGCGCTGGTTCAACTAGACGAGGCGAGTGGTAACATGTCGCCGAGATTAATAACTTCAGAGCTGCTACTGCATTTCTAAGACATTTCTAATCATCCCTTTTTTTTCCCAATGTTTCCCAAAACATTGTTATCGTCTGTTATTTTCGTACGTAAAAAGGAAGTCGGTGACGGCCAGCCGAACCACCTTCCCAGACGACATAGAATTCGCCATCTCAATACCACACCTTCGCCGGCCTAGCGGAAACTAAGCAGGGCTTAACTCGCGGTCCTAGAATTCGGGGCCTGAGGAACTGAGAACGTGCTCCATAAATGACCAGTATAGGACCTTTATTTAGGACGAATAGCTAACTAATGAGGGTAGTTTCTATCCCGTGTCAGACATTAGGTTTGACACGAAGTGGAGGTTCGGAAGACCCGAAGTGGCTCGATTTTGGCCCGAAGTTCGGAAGAGACAAATTGGAGACTAAGGCCGCATGACTTGATGTCTGACACGGGATAGAAACGCACCCTGAGAGCTCACAATCATGAGCTCAAATGAGAATTGGGAACGGTGATGGCTCA